CTTTGGAAGACCTCTTTTCAAAGTTGATAATTTTAACTGAATAATTCCAAGAGCCTTCAAGAGAACCACCAGCATATATTTTCGTCTCTTGTCGGAGTAACTCCAAGTTGAATACTTCTTGTAAACAGCATATCCACGTTTTAACTGGGTGTTCGCTACTAATGTTACATTACCTGTTACAGCGTCCACAACAACGACATTGTGTCCTCTGCTGTGCGGGGACTTATCTTCCCCATTTACGTATATGTAAGCTAGACCACATGTGCCTTCCGGTATACCGGGATCTTCGCAACCCTCACTCTTGATGTAAATACTCACGGAGAGATCTACAAGGTAAGAAACATCTTTTGGTTAACACGGTGCATCATTTAGTCCTACAATTGCTAACTATCCAAAGCTATTTGCTGTCTATCAAGTTTGGTCAAGAGTCTTTAGACACTGAAAAAAGTGTCACTGGTTAGTATTTTAACAATAACGTTTTTAACGAAAACTTCAGTTTAAATAACGTTTACCTTAATATGAATGGATCTTTTGTTTTGTTGCTCATTGTTATAACATGAATGTTTTAATAATTTGTTTTGTATATAATTTATACGAATATTTAGACATATCCTATTGGAACTGAACGCAAAGCTATATATATTTATAATTACCTCTAAGTAGCATCAGTAATCGTATTATATTGTAAGTAGTGTAAGTATTAGTATCGTAAGTAGAATAAGTAATCGTATTGTACTGTAGAGTAAGTTATGCAGGTTGTAGTATTGTAAGTAGCATCTGTAATCGTGTCGTATTGTAAATAGTGTAAGTAGTGTGTAAGTAATCGCATTGTAAAACAAGTTTTGTTAGTGATGTAAGGGGCTTTAGTAGTTGCATTACTGTTGTAAATTGTGTAAGTAGCTGTGCTGGTGTTGTAAGTGTGTGACTCACAATTAAAATGTTAAAAAGAAAAAGTTTACCTTGGTCTGCTCTGGGGATTCTTACAAGAAGCTCTGAAAATGAATTGGACACGAATCTCCGTTACACGAAGTTTAAAGGATAATCTCACGGCTCAGCGCTTGTACAAGATATGGCGTGAGATTAGTACTTCTTTTACACCTTTGTTAAATCACGAGCAATTTCGGCAATCACAGACTATAAATGCTGACTACACTCACACGTGACATTCAACATGAAAAAGGTTCAGCTCTGCGTCGGTAATTCATCTAATGCAAATTAATATATCCTGATGTATCCTGACCCATTACAACTACTGACTTAAGAATTAGGACCTGTGCGACGCCAGATTCGAAATACTACTAAAAGCCACACCTTAGATGTGGCCAAAAATATTTATGGAAACGTAATTCTTACATAGCAGGACAAGACCTCGAGGAAAAGGTATTCTATAAATTTCTTACGCAAGGTTTTTAAACAAAGAAACACATAATTATGAAAACAAGTGGCCCACCTGGAATGAGCTAACCCTCTTGCCAAAACCTTAAAAAGTCCCAAAGCTTCCTATGCTACCCGCGAGCCTCTCGATCGTGCCGTGAGAATATTAATCTTCGACCAATTCTTCCCTCAATCGTCAGAATTTTCATTTGTACAGCCAGCAAGATTGATGCCCGAATTGCACAGAAAATACCAAAGTATCATGGTAGCATTGATTATCCAGGGCGCTTTCCATTCAAGCAAAAAGTTTGTAACTTTGGAAACGAAGGCAAATGATACGAAATTTTCCTTGGAGGTTTCCAAAAAGCCGCAGTTTGATGAATTTCCGAAATACAAAGTAAATAACCCAAAATTTGGGAAAATACGTGCGGAAACTCAAATGGCACGGAAATTCTCAGTAAGAATGTTGAAAATTCATTTCGATTTACATGGCAATGTGTCCTTCGTTTTGGAAATTACGGAAAATGCTGTTCCATTTGACATCGAAAAATTTACAGCAATTGAAATGAGAAGCGCCCACAATCCGTAGACCCAAGGGATCTATTCTAATTGCGTACGATTGGTTTAAAAGCAATAAAACGTTTAAAGAAACATTTCCCACAAGTCATCCACTCCCATTCGATTGTTTCATAAATGATGGAGCCAAATAGCCTGAGCCTAAAGCTTTCACTTCGGCCGAGCTGTGAAATCCTTCCTTAAATTTATTACATAACGTGTCGCTTGCATGCAAGCTTCGTGTAAGAAATACATAAAGATACAGGAATAAAATCCAGTTATAATCAATGGATAGTTTATGCATGCTTTAGAAGTTACCGACGGATATGACTTTCTTGAAAGAAATGCAAACATCGAAGTTAAAGCCTTAGTACTAGTTAAGCGTATAAGTAAAATGCTGTAGGACTAAACTGATTGTTTTGGCACGACAAAATATATACGATTTTGCAGAGTTCGTTTCTTATTCAAATTTCAACCAAAAATAAATAATAAAACCCGAGCTTGATTAAAAATGTTCCAAAAATTACTATTTTACCGATAAACGCCTGATGAGCCTCGCAATTCTTAGTAACAGATGGGTGAGTAATCAGGTATGAACCCCAGGAATAAGTTTGTCTTCTTTTTGGAAATGGCCGGAAATACTGTTCCATTCCCCACTGAAAATTCCTGGAAACTGGAATTTGAATTTTTGGTCAAGTGTAACTGGAAAATTCTTCGTTGATTTAGACACAAAACTGAATTTAGTTTTTACCTGCAATTGGAATAGCTCTGCAGACATTTGCGATCACCACAAAGGCCAACCAAAACAGCAGAAATTTCATCGCGGAAATAAATCAACCTGCAGATTTAAAATTACAAGTAATGTGTCAATTACAAATAATGTGTCATTACAAGCTATGTGTGAATTTAATTCGTTTGGTTAGAAATAACATAACATTAGCGAGAGTAAGTTTCTAATTGCCCAGCTGTTCATTAACCAATGTTTGGCGGAAATTGAAATGCCATATTATCAGTTATCAAAAATGTGCGTACTTAACTCCAGATTGAAAAACAAAAACAAATTTTCTTAACATTAAGTATATTCATAATTCGTCGTTCGTTAGCTATTTCTCAAATGACCGTTTGAAATGAGTGGCTTGCATTGTTATGGTTCTCGTTTCCTTCATCGTTTTATCTTGTCGCGGGTTTATAGACATTTTAGTTTTTCATGCAAACGACCCCACAAGCTTCCTAGCTTTAATTTCCTTCGTTTTAAAATAAAGGCTGTCTATCGATCTCTCCTGCGCGACGTTAACTTTGCCTCTGGTTTATTCTCTTAAATGGTCGGCCATTCCCCACTTTTCATCTCATACATCACTCTTTTTACATCTGATCTTTTCTATGAGAAGTATAACTACTGCGCTTATAATTTTGTTTGTACCAATTCGTGTGCGGAAAATTTAGTTTAATATGCGAATTGGAGTAGCGATTAAAAAATTAATAACAAATTGCATGTGTTTCAAGGGGGCTACCTTGCAGATCATCTCGAATGTTCAGGGTTTACAGTCCGTGCCAAATTTAATTTCCCTAAGAATTGTTTAACTACCCTTCCCTCTTTTTTAGTTATTAAGTAATCAGGCCAGACTTGAGCTTGGCCCTCACTTCATAACCCGTAAACAAGAAGAATGTAAACAGAGCACAATTTCTAAAAGCTCTACTGATTGTGAGCCATTCCTTCGTCGGCGATAAAAAAAGGAACTGTAATGTGTTACGTACTGTCTAAAGAAAACTGATATAATTAACGCACGTCTTTTTGTTACTATATTTTCCTTATAAACGTTGCGCCAAGGAAGCAATCGTAGCTTCGTTATGTTTTCACTTTTTTAACCAGAAATGAAATATTTTCTACTCGCATGGATCAGGGGCAAAAACTCAACCCTAACACAAGACAATTGCTACGAAGGTCAAGACTTCATAAAAGTGCAATCACTGGCTGATAGTCGAGCAAACATTTCAGCACTCACCTTTTTGATCAACTTATTCGACTGTAGTAGGAGAGGGTAATACTTACGACGCTTGGAACTCCCTGCTCTGTGAAAATTTGAGCTGTGCATCACAGTATAATATCATTTCTCCCTACAGGGAGTCTTGAACAAATGTTTAATTTTTTTGTGAATTACAACGTTTTCGTGGCAACAGACTCAAAATAATGACGAGGAAAAGGTTGTAGACTTCAGCGTTGCCTCGTTAACCACATGGTAATTCTGATAACAACTTTCATCACAAAATTTGAAGCGAAGTTTGGGGATGGTATTAATGTGAACTTATTTCACAATTTCAACGACGAAACGTTTGAATTAAACTTGCTTTCTAATGTAATGGATGGTAAACAAACTAGATTACAAGTCGTCTTGTTTTCCTTTTCGCTTATTGAACTCTCCGCGAGAGATAACGTAAATATCACGAGGGAGATAACTGGACATTGTCAAGAAGGTCTGAATTAGGCTGGTGAAATATCTCAAATATCACTTAGAGTTTTGGCGATTTCTCGCCTTTTTGCAGATCTGAGATCTGAGTTATCAGTTTAGAACTACGTTATTGTTCTCAAGTGACCAGTTGGCCAGTTGGCCAGTTCTCGGCCATCAGTTAAAACCCAAGCAAATATAAATATTATTTTTAATGAATTGAGACCAATTTAATTAACAAGTGAGGAAAACTACATCATTTCTTTGACAAAAGTTGGTTACAAACCTCTCTGTTGCAAGCCTTTCTATGTAGAATAAATAAATCTGGATGATACTAGTGATAGATGGCATTTACCGCGAATTTGAAAAAAAAATAGAAGTTATTAACTTTTTAGGCGTCGTTTTAGATTAGGGGTCTATGTGGGGGTTAAGATAAACATTTATTTCCGCGTGCGTCCTTTTTAACATTTGACTTTTATTTTGTATCAATCATCTGCATGCGCCCTGCTTTCGGCAATTATCTGTATGGCTCTCTAAGCGTGAGACAATGTTAGTTTAACATCACAGTGGATCCTATTTAATTAAATTTGTATTAAAATTAACACGAATTTTCCTTTGTAAAACTAATGCAGTACCACATCATGCCAATATGAAAGCATTGAATTTTAGTTTGCGCCTGAAATAAATGTGTTTTTAAGATTAAAAAGGACTATGGGGGCAGTAGTTAGTGCTGCTGTAGATATCAATAAACAAAGCGTTGTAAATTATCATGTTAAAGAAAACCACAGATTAGGCGAGATCATAGTAAATACGAATTTAATACTCGCAAAATTTCAAAATCGGTGCTCAAGATTTTACAGTTTAAGAATGTCTCTACAACTCTTGAGGAAGAAAAGGATTGAGAAAAAACCTGTTCGAATCAATGCAATTTTTCATATAGACTTAGTACTGCAGCCACGTTATCCCTTGTGCCGCTTGGCCCTGTTTAGTTGAGGGAATCAAGCTGGTGGCTAGAAGTGTTCTTGTTTGGAATCGAAAAAAGGTACAAACGAGGAATCTCTAAAAGAATAAAAAAAAATTCAAATATATACAAAAAACCTCCTAGAGCCCAATTTTCTTTAGGTATTTCATACATGTATTAACGATTTACATGAAAAAATCCGCTCATCTAACTCTACGTAAAACTCATTAAAATTAATGCCCAGTGGAACTCAAAACGTAGGATTTGCGAAAATCGTGCTAAATTGGCCAGTGTAATTTTGAAATTGGTCATATTCAATGTTTATGTTTCTTTTCTAACTAAGTCAATGCGGACTTTCGGTCAACCGTTAAATTAAAGGTATTGCGTTAAGGGTACTTTGTGTTGTAGCAAGCCATATTGAATAAAACCTTTACATTTCCTATCTGTGAGCAATCAAAGTTTCACTTGGTGAAGAAACGAACGTAAATAGATCGGAAAGAAGATTAGTTACTTTCAAATCAGTATTACTTGGCTTGTTTTTCAGAATTTTGTTATATCATCGGCCAAGGCGATGTGGCACTAAGATTTAGCGTCGGATTACAATATCTCGCCTAGAGACTTGTGTTTAAGACCTCTTGTCCAACGGCGTATTGGGCTTTTGCAGGTATAATTTTCGTTTTACAGATACAAGCCTAAGACCATGACATTCCCAGTTTAGTTGCGCCGTACTTTGAGTTCAGTATTAACCTTTAACTTGTAGGTCGATCCACGACAACTTTCTCAAGATGAGCATCCTCAGTCCTTGTTCGCGTCGGGCGTCAAAACGACTCACTTGAATCACATGAATCGCTTTCGTGAACGTTACCCTATTTTCACTAAACCAGCAACAGCTAATACTATTTTAGTTTTGACATACTAAAAACGTATCCAAATCATTCCTGTTGATACAATTTGAAATGGTATATAGCTTTAGACTCCTTCAGGCGCAACGCAGCCGCAAACTCAGGGACTAAAAGTTAACCGCTATTCATACATGCGTTCAGTTTACAATTTTAAACTGCAAGTAGATTCTGAAGCCCTTTTTCGATAAAATACAGAATGAATCAAAAGGTTAAAGTAAGTCATACATCACACACTATTACATAGGTGGTTTCTGCCTTGTTCATTGTGATTATGTTACTTAAGCTTAATCTTTTGATGAAAGTAATGCGATTCATTTCAGACTAATTTCAGGATACATAACGCAAATAATAGAGTGCAAATAAAATAGTAAGGAAATAATTACAAAAGGGTAAATCTTGAAAAGCCTGTTTTTCCTCTCACTCGCTAAAGGATGTTTTGATGTTGTAAGGACAAATGAAATCATGATCTTTCTCTGGAATTTATAGCCATCAAAGGATTAACGTTTAAGAGAGATTTTCATCAAAAGACAAGGCAAAAATGTTGCTTGTTTAGAATGGCANCGCTACTAATGTTACATTACCTGTTACAGCGTCCACAACAACGACATTGTGTCCTCTGCTGTGCGGGGACTTATCTTCCCCATTTACGTATATGTAAGCTAGACCACATGTGCCTTCCGGTATACCGGGATCTTCGCAACCCTCACTCTTGATGTAAATACTCACGGAGAGATCTACAAGGTAAGAAACATCTTTTGGTTAACACGGTGCATCATTTAGTCCTACAATTGCTAACTATCCAAAGCTATTTGCTGTCTATCAAGTTTGGTCAAGAGTCTTTAGACACTGAAAAAAGTGTCACTGGTTAGTATTTTAACAATAACGTTTTTAACGAAAACTTCAGTTTAAATAACGTTTACCTTAATATGAATGGATCTTTTGTTTTGTTGCTCATTGTTATAACATGAATGTTTTAATAATTTGTTTTGTATATAATTTATACGAATATTTAGACATATCCTATTGGAACTGAACGCAAAGCTATATATATTTATAATTACCTCTAAGTAGCATCAGTAATCGTATTATATTGTAAGTAGTGTAAGTATTAGTATCGTAAGTAGAATAAGTAATCGTATTGTACTGTAGAGTAAGTTATGCAGGTTGTAGTATTGTAAGTAGCATCTGTAATCGTGTCGTATTGTAAATAGTGTAAGTAGTGTGTAAGTAATCGCATTGTAAAACAAGTTTTGTTAGTGATGTAAGGGGCTTTAGTAGTTGCATTACTGTTGTAAATTGTGTAAGTAGCTGTGCTGGTGTTGTAAGTGTGTGACTCACAATTAAAATGTTAAAAAGAAAAAGTTTACCTTGGTCTGCTCTGGGGATTCTTACAAGAAGCTCTGAAAATGAATTGGACACGAATCTCCGTTACACGAAGTTTAAAGGATAATCTCACGGCTCAGCGCTTGTACAAGATATGGCGTGAGATTAGTACTTCTTTTACACCTTTGTTAAATCACGAGCAATTTCGGCAATCACAGACTATAAATGCTGACTACACTCACACGTGACATTCAACATGAAAAAGGTTCAGCTCTGCGTCGGTAATTCATCTAATGCAAATTAATATATCCTGATGTATCCTGACCCATTACAACTACTGACTTAAGAATTAGGACCTGTGCGACGCCAGATTCGAAATACTACTAAAAGCCACACCTTAGATGTGGCCAAAAATATTTATGGAAACGTAATTCTTACATAGCAGGACAAGACCTCGAGGAAAAGGTATTCTATAAATTTCTTACGCAAGGTTTTTAAACAAAGAAACACATAATTATGAAAACAAGTGGCCCACCTGGAATGAGCTAACCCTCTTGCCAAAACCTTAAAAAGTCCCAAAGCTTCCTATGCTACCCGCGAGCCTCTCGATCGTGCCGTGAGAATATTAATCTTCGACCAATTCTTCCCTCAATCGTCAGAATTTTCATTTGTACAGCCAGCAAGATTGATGCCCGAATTGCACAGAAAATACCAAAGTATCATGGTAGCATTGATTATCCAGGGCGCTTTCCATTCAAGCAAAAAGTTTGTAACTTTGGAAACGAAGGCAAATGATACGAAATTTTCCTTGGAGGTTTCCAAAAAGCCGCAGTTTGATGAATTTCCGAAATACAAAGTAAATAACCCAAAATTTGGGAAAATACGTGCGGAAACTCAAATGGCACGGAAATTCTCAGTAAGAATGTTGAAAATTCATTTCGATTTACATGGCAATGTGTCCTTCGTTTTGGAAATTACGGAAAATGCTGTTCCATTTGACATCGAAAAATTTACAGCAATTGAAATGAGAAGCGCCCACAATCCGTAGACCCAAGGGATCTATTCTAATTGCGTACGATTGGTTTAAAAGCAATAAAACGTTTAAAGAAACATTTCCCACAAGTCATCCACTCCCATTCGATTGTTTCATAAATGATGGAGCCAAATAGCCTGAGCCTAAAGCTTTCACTTCGGCCGAGCTGTGAAATCCTTCCTTAAATTTATTACATAACGTGTCGCTTGCATGCAAGCTTCGTGTAAGAAATACATAAAGATACAGGAATAAAATCCAGTTATAATCAATGGATAGTTTATGCATGCTTTAGAAGTTACCGACGGATATGACTTTCTTGAAAGAAATGCAAACATCGAAGTTAAAGCCTTAGTACTAGTTAAGCGTATAAGTAAAATGCTGTAGGACTAAACTGATTGTTTTGGCACGACAAAATATATACGATTTTGCAGAGTTCGTTTCTTATTCAAATTTCAACCAAAAATAAATAATAAAACCCGAGCTTGATTAAAAATGTTCCAAAAATTACTATTTTACCGATAAACGCCTGATGAGCCTCGCAATTCTTAGTAACAGATGGGTGAGTAATCAGGTATGAACCCCAGGAATAAGTTTGTCTTCTTTTTGGAAATGGCCGGAAATACTGTTCCATTCCCCACTGAAAATTCCTGGAAACTGGAATTTGAATTTTTGGTCAAGTGTAACTGGAAAATTCTTCGTTGATTTAGACACAAAACTGAATTTAGTTTTTACCTGCAATTGGAATAGCTCTGCAGACATTTGCGATCACCACAAAGGCCAACCAAAACAGCAGAAATTTCATCGCGGAAATAAATCAACCTGCAGATTTAAAATTACAAGTAATGTGTCAATTACAAATAATGTGTCATTACAAGCTATGTGTGAATTTAATTCGTTTGGTTAGAAATAACATAACATTAGCGAGAGTAAGTTTCTAATTGCCCAGCTGTTCATTAACCAATGTTTGGCGGAAATTGAAATGCCATATTATCAGTTATCAAAAATGTGCGTACTTAACTCCAGATTGAAAAACAAAAACAAATTTTCTTAACATTAAGTATATTCATAATTCGTCGTTCGTTAGCTATTTCTCAAATGACCGTTTGAAATGAGTGGCTTGCATTGTTATGGTTCTCGTTTCCTTCATCGTTTTATCTTGTCGCGGGTTTATAGACATTTTAGTTTTTCATGCAAACGACCCCACAAGCTTCCTAGCTTTAATTTCCTTCGTTTTAAAATAAAGGCTGTCTATCGATCTCTCCTGCGCGACGTTAACTTTGCCTCTGGTTTATTCTCTTAAATGGTCGGCCATTCCCCACTTTTCATCTCATACATCACTCTTTTTACATCTGATCTTTTCTATGAGAAGTATAACTACTGCGCTTATAATTTTGTTTGTACCAATTCG